GGCTTAGCTAATGTGGTGGTTTTTACTGCAAAATATTTGAACCAGCATAGAGTTTGGCTGACAGTCCATTCTTCAACGGGTGGGATATACTGGGAGAGGCAGCGTTTGAATATTATGTGCTCTCCAGCTCTTCAGAGTTTGCACATGGGGGTCTATTGTTGATGATGAGTTGTACTGAAAATGCTGATAGATAGACACCTCCTCACTGATTTGTCGTATTCTCTGAGCTGGTGGCTTCTGTCTCATCTGACAACACAGGAGCTGGATCAAGGATGTCTTATACTAAAACCACAAATTGCTATAGCCTCAGGAAAATGAAAGGTTCTGTATTTAGGGCTGCTACAACGCACGTTCTCAGTGGATCATGTACAGAGTGAGATTTGTGATACAGACTTGGCCAGGGATTGCATATGCATCTCACCAAGTAATTAATGACTCCATGGGATGCCTTCCTTTTCTCATAGGTCTAGAGTTATTTTATCCTGAAGCCTACCAAGAAATACTATAAGTATATCATATCCTTTGAGATGAGTCTCTCTGGTCATTCTACAAACTTATTCAGATTGTGCTACATCTTGTAGATCCTACCCTACACCAGAGCATCCTGACACTGGGGCTCATCCTGGCGTGTACAGGACTCTACACAGGTAGAGTCCTGGACTCCCTTAGGTATCTCTTTCAATCCTTCAAGCTGCAGAGCTGGGGACCACAGTACAATCACCACAGGCAGGATGATTTCCAGCTTTGGAGATCTGTTATCTTCAGAAGTTTTGATTGGTACCTACTAGTCCTGAGATACAGCTGATCCAACTATGCCTCTGCTCTTAAAAAAGTGTTTCGGTTGTATAGCGGCATGAGCTCTTAGGGCTTTTTTGTCTCCTTGGGGTTGGCAGAGCCCTCAGTGGTTTGTGGTGGCAGTTAGGACACTGGATATGGAGGAATCTGGGTGAGAACGTGAGTTTTTTTGGAACACATCTGCCACTGCTGCTGACTTCATGAGGCAGTTGTTTTCATCTATTCAGAAATGCCTGCTGCTTGAGAATATTTGCTATTGATCTTTACTGCTCCCTGAAAACAGAAGTGACTTGCAGGCTGTCATTAATTTTGGATCCTGAGACTACTGCACCAACCTCTCCCAATTCCAAATGCCCAGCAGTCATTCTTTTTAAATTGTCCCTGAACTAGGAATTTGAAAGACGGTATAACAATATGTTAAATGTCTCCAATCATCTCTGTAAACGCGTCTAGACTGTGGTCTCCAGTGGAGTGGAAAGACACTTGAGATTGCTAAAAATGTATTAGCTCAGGTGCTTCACATATCTGGAGCAATCTAAATGTGGCACTGAAGCTCAGTTGGTGTCTTGAGATGTGCTCATTTTCAGGATGTTGTGTTTTACTGCTTTTCATTCAAATGAACCCATTTAAAATTAGGTTGGGTAACGCTGTGCTCTGCTGCATTTCGAAGTGCATGCTGACCTGCAAAGCACAGCTGACTGTGACCCGCTGAGAGTAACTGCCAGCATTCCCCGAAATGGCTGTAGTCTCCGAAACATCAGGATTTATCCCTTTTGGGTCTTCAAAAACTTAATCGGCAAAGTTTACCTGTGGAGGAGACACGGTCCTCTGAGAATTAGTCATGGGATTCAGCTTAGAAAGGACTGTCATATTTTGACTGCTGTATGATCTGGGTATTAGATGAAGGGTTTTTTTACTTTGTGTTGTCCTGAGCACAGAGCAGCGTCATGAGACCACCTTCCCCTCCTGCCACCCTCCCCACAACATCTTTACCATCCAAGTGGGAGGTAGGAAGAAAGAAGGAACCTCACATGACAGACGTTTGTGATGCTGTAGGAGGTTCTGTGATGCAGTGACCACAGATGCGGGAGGGAAGGTGCAAGAGCAGCTCTGCAGCACAGTAGCTCACTTGCAATGCACTGGGACAACATGCCCCTTTCTACATTTCACTCCCCTCCTTTTTTCTGATCTCCTTGCCCCAAAGGGCTGCGGCCGTCACCACTTTCAGACCCCACATCAGGGTGTCAGCCTGCGTTTTGCCATTCAGAGCGGTGTGGTGCCTCAAGGCTCACCCCATGGGGTTGGGCTGCCTCCATGGCCACGGTATGGCCACGCCAGACAGCTTGGCCACCTCTCTCATGCTTGTATTTGGTCAGAGATGAGTCATATTTTTGACACCGGCACATCACGGTTGCAAGGGATCCTGCAAAGAGACAAATTAAAAGTGCAGCAAGGATCTTGGGTAGGAAAAAGGCAATATTTATTACATCTAAAGCTACTCTGTGTGGCTTTCCTCTGCTTCACGTTTAAGATGTCCCCTCCAGGCATCCTCCCGGTACTGTTTTGGAGGTAAGGTACATACATAGAGGCAGGGAGTGTTGTGCTGGGGGGCATGGAGGGCAGAGAGCCTCCCTCAGCGAAACCCAGATGCTCTGAATCACTCCATTACTTCTTGATGGTCGGGAATGCGCTTAACTAATTTTGTCTTGCTAATTTTTAATTACCGCAGATCTCACTCTGATCTTCTCATGAGTCTGATAGCGGGAAGGGAATTTAGCTGATAAGGATCACTACCATCAGGGCAGTGTGCTTGGCTTTTTAAACGGAAAATATTTATGGCAGTCAATGGGAGCAGTTTGCTTTCAAGGCTAAGCTCTTGCCTGCACCCCCATATGGCTGGTATCTCTGAAAAGCCTTTGCTTTGGTGTGGGGGCTTGATGCAGTGTCTAATGGGGACCTTTTGGGGCCTGGCAGTGGGAGCAGGACTTGGCACTGCGCTCCCGCTGACACTACCCTGCAGTCTGTTACAGTGGCCACAGTCAGGCTTTTCTGCCAGCCTGACCATATGCTGCATGTTTTACACTCAAGTTAAAAGTCTGGATTTGGAGCCTGCCTTCCTTCCATGTCTCCTTTCCTTC